AATAATGAAACAAAATAATTTGAAAATATTGAAACAAAATTGAAACAATATTGAAACGAAATAATGAAACAAAGTAATTTGAAAATATTGAAACAATATTGAAACAAAATAATTTGAGAATATTAAAACAATATTGAAACAAAATAATTTGAAAATATTGAAACAAAATAATTTGAGTTATATAAAATAAAAGAGTTGTTTATGTGTGAAATACGTAAAGTATAATACGTAAGATGATTGGATGGTTGGTCAGATGGTTTGATCAGTGAGGCTAGGAAATATTTGAGTATATATATATATCTTCATATCATTCAATGGCGTACTTGGAAAGATCGATGTGCGAGATAAAAAAAATTATTCTAGGAAATGTCTGTTTTTTATCTGATTATTCGCCAACGTGGAAAAGTTTAAGAATTACTTAAAAAATTATTTCGATAAGTAAAAACGAGTTTTTTCGAGTTTAGTTAATTAGAAGTTTTCATCAATAAAAAACGTAACAAACGAAATGAAGTCACGAAATTGAAAAAAAAAAAGAATATCTTTACATTCAGTAATCATTTATTGGAAGATTAATTAGATTAATTAGAAGTATATTTTTATTTATCGGCAAATTTAGATGTATGATAAGAACTGACGTTTGAAAATTGAATTGTTTTTTAATGAAATTAAAATATTTTGATTAAAGGACGTAATATAAGATATCTAACCTAATATTAAAGTTCAATGCTCAATGAAACAAACGTATGAATAGAACTCGACAGATTAAATGTCTCAAGAATGGCGAGACGCATTTAAAGTGGTAAACAAAAAAATCGCAATCCAATTTGAAAACGTAGGATTTTTAGTTTTGTTCACGAACACATTGATATAAATATATATATTAATTCACTTGTGGAATGCTGAGATCTGAAAATAACAATCGATCAATTACTCATTTATTTGTTAATAAAATGTTATGCATTTAAAAAAAATATGCTATCTATATTAATATCCACTATCGCGGGAATTAAACAAACGTTGAAAATAAATTTTTTAAATACAAACATCAAAGAGGTGTAATTTACACAAGTGTGTAAAAAACATATATATGTACCTATGCATTACACTTTCAAAAAAGATGATAAGAAAATTATAATTTAAAATAAAAGAATACAAAGTAAATACATACGTAATTTTCGTGTTACGATAAAGCTTACCGTAAATATCTACTTAACTGGTAAATAAAAACGTATGAAACACAACATGAAACAACTGAATCCTGCGATTAGTTCATTCTCTTAATTGACTTTCACCGCCATCTGTCAATTGGAGTAGGAATTATTTTATATTGTGTTCCTTTTATACATTACGGCTGTCATTACTTATTAGCGTTATGTTAAGAGTAAAAAAAAATACTTAATGTTGTAATCGAGTGCACTTAAAATGCATTCTCACCGATATAAAAGCTATTTTTGTGCTGTGATGTCAATATTTAACGATATGGTTTAACGATATAGTTTCCTAGTCACATTTTTTAGTTGTAAATAACCTTATCTTTATTAAATATTTTCCCGTAATATGGCTAAAACTAAAACAATCAGTAAAGGCTGCCCTAAATGTGAACAGCAGGTAATTTTATATGGTAATTAATTATTTTATATTTGTGTGAAAAGATGTATCACATGTAGATATACATATTAATTTTATTTTAAATATTTTTTGTAGCTTTATTTACTAATTACAACAAATCTTTTTTATATAAGCTGGGGAAGCTTCAGCAAAGAGAAAATGAGATTATTTTGTGAATCATAAATTGTTCTATTATTATCAGTTAATTACTAAAATTAAATGTAAGCTTTGAATAATTAACTCTTTACAAAAGTCTATGCAAGAAAATATTAAATTTTTATTTTGAGTCCAAGTTGATGTTATGCATTTATTTAGTTATATGTATAATTACTAATTTATTTATATTTTTTTATATTAATTATGTGTATTTATTAAGGTACCTGTAGCTTGCAAAGCATGTCCATGTGGACATTCATTTTTTAATGCAAGGCGAAATTCAATAAAAAGCCCTCCTAGTCCTGACAATGGAGTGATGAAAACAAGACGAACCAACCGAATCAAACGTGAAAAACCAAATTACTATGATGCTTTAGAATATGATAAACAATCAAAAAAGAGTACCAAAGTAAAATGTTGTTTTATATTCTACTTGTATGTAAATGTGTATTTTAAAATTATTAATATATACACAAAATTTCTATTATTATAGATCAGAAAAGCAACAGATACTGCTAATGACATAGACTGTAGACAATTAAATAAGAAGAAAAAACGAAAAGGAAAAGGTAAAGGAAAAAGTGGAAGTAATAATGGAATAGGAGATGATGATGATGAAATGGAAGGAATCAATGGTTTATCACCTGAGAAGCAACTTACGTGTTCCTTAATTTTGCAAGAATTAAATAATAAAATGAGAGTTGTAGCCTGGAAACCAACATAAGTTTTCTCATGTCATATTTCGGACTATAAGAAATACTAGCATTCATTTTTGATAGAACATAATCATTTTACATAATTATTGGACTGTGTTTGAAATGCTATCTATTCATTGCATCTGGGAAAATTAAAATAGTATTATAAAATAGCATTGTAACGTTATACATAAATTAATAGCATTAATTTTTACAAATTATTTCTAATTTTTGTTAATAGATAAAATTTATATATATATGATATAGTAGACTATTTTTCATTGAGAATTATATATAAGAATTATATATAATTCGCAATAAAGAATTTATACTTTATTTTTTATGGTAACTTTGAGACTTATAACTTTTGAGAATTAATTTATACTATATTACCTTCCAAAGTAGAAAAATTAAGACTACGTAAGTGAAAAGAATACAATTTTTATTAAAGATCATGGTGTTTAATTACATCTTTTTGTATGAAAAAATATGTTTTTCCTACTAAGATTGTTTCTTTCATCGCAGGACCTGCCGCAATTCTTCATTTTCTACAAACAATCATAATGTAACATGTAAATATAATGTACATAGTGTTTGTGTGTAATATATAAGGCAAATTACAACTGTAATCCAGTTTCTCTTTTTTTGAAAGCTTTTTTTTTTCTTTACATTGTGTATGTGTATGTATGTATGTGTGTATGTGTGTATGT